ACCCCTGGTTAAGTATAAATAAAATATGTAAATAACAGAAATCAGCTTTAGTTTTAATTTTTTTGAACATATGTTTGACTCATTTCATTTGTTCTATGCTGAAATAAAAAACATTCACAGAAACTGTGTTGTTTCGTTTGCTACGTCCGCTCTCCAGTTTTTTCTGCAGGAGTCTCATCTCGGACAGAACCGAGCCACATGCTCCTTACCACATCTGACTGCCTTAAACCCACATGTGCAGGTGTTGGCACACACTGGACCGCTGGATGACAAACTGCTTCTGCAATATCAGGTTTTTCCCATTTTCCTTCCAGACTTCAGTTTTTTACACCTTGATATTAAAAGTGAAACAACGGTTGGCTCAAAAAACTCCACACTTTCATCAAATGAAAGTAAAAGTATGTCCTTGGGTATCTTTGTTTGTTTTTRTACATTAATAAGCAACAAGCTCTTTTTTTTATTATTTGTTAATTTTTCCAGGTGGTGGTCCTTACTGACTCCTCGCTTGACGATCAGAAGCGTTTTGGTGAATTCTGTCATTCGCACGGAATTCGGTTTATAGTCGCAGACACAAAGGGTCTCTGCGGGTAAGAAAGGGAAATGAACTTTCAAAAATAAATGTGGTCGTGTGATAAAGAGAGACCTGTAAAACACTGGTGCGTTTTCAGACAACTGTTCTGCGATTTCGGGGAAGAGTTCGAAGTCTTGGACCGAGATGGAGAGACGCCCGTGTCTGTGATGGTAGAACGAATCACTAAGGTAAATACTGTTTGTTTTTGTTGTTTGACAACCGGTTTAAACCCTGTTTAAAGTTTAACTGGAGAATGTTTACGCCTGTTGTTCATTCATGTCAGCTTTATTAACAAATAATCTGTACTGACCAAACCATTGGACGAATTGCACACAATACAGTTTTGCCCAACCCTACAACACACAACTAAAATAGGTGCATAAAATTGAATTAAATGTGAATTTTCTCTAAATTATACTGTACATACAGTTTCAACTATAGGTATGCAAAYGTTATTTCATCCATTTTGTGCAATGCATAAATACCACAACATGATGCTACCACCCCCATGCTTGACAACAGGCGTTGTTGAGTTAAGACACGATGCAACTTTCAGCGCAATTCTAAAATATTTATATGTATACATAAAAAAATCTGTGAAGTAGAAACATTCCACCCTGGAAAGAGAACTCAAATGCATCAGTAAAAGCCTAAAACCCCTAAATAATTTGGCATTTATGACCATGATGATGATATATAAACCTTTGATTACACCTGTATATATTCAAATATTTCTCTTTGTTTCAGGACAATCCCGGAGTTGTCGTCTGCACAGATGACCAGAAACATGGACTTTCAGAAGGTTCTAAAGTGACATTTTCTGAAGTCCAAGGCATGACGGAGCTCAACACTCTGGGCCCTGTGGAGATCAAAGTCTGTGGTTGGTGTTGCTTAAACACTTTAATTTTCGGGGAGGGGACTCTCATGACCTAGAGTCCCTTTAGCTCAGCTGACATTCTTCTCATGCYTCAATCATCTAAAGAAAATCAGATGTTTTAAACTCTTCATGTTTGCATGTGATTTGTCCCTTTGGTCACCAGGCCCGTATTCGTTCAGCATTTGTGACACTTCAGCCTTTTCTGATTATGAACGGGGTGGAGTAGTAACTGAAGTTAAACAGCCATATAAGTTGAATTTTGTAAGTTAGAATAATAACAAAACCTTTAGAAGAAAAAGAAAAGTACCCACTGATTGTTAATTAATAACCACATMTTGTTGCAGAAACCACTGAGTGAGGCTCTGAGTGAGCATGAGCTGCTGACTCTGAACGACTATGGGAAAATATCCAGACACCACACGCTACACCTGGCGTTCCAAGCCCTGCATAGGTTTGTCAAGGAGCAGAAGCGTCTTCCTCATTCGTGGTGTCAGGTCTGTTGTGGAATAGCAGGAATATATTCGAGCTCACTTGAACATTTCGACTCATTGGTAACGAATCCACGCAGTCAGATGCAGATTCACTGGTTTCCATCGTAAAAGAGCTGAATGCAGAGAGAAAGCTGGAGGAACTCGATGAGGCGGCGGTTCGAAGCTTGTCCTACACTGCCCGGGGGGATTTAGCTCCTATGAACGCTTTTTTTGGAGGAGTTGCTGCTCAGGAAGTTATTAAGGTGGGTTCTAATATACATATATACAGTAGAAATGTATGTGTGTATGTGTGTGTGTGTGCGTGCTCACTTGGGATGTCTACTAAACTAACAAATGTTTTTCTTTTTTTGTTGTTGTAATTGTCCTGCAGGCATGTAGTGGGAAATTTACCCCTTTTCAGCAGTGGCTGTATTTTGATGCATTAGAGTGTCTCCCTGAGGAGGAGCTTGTCTCTCTGCCAAAGACCTTCTACCTACCAGTAAGTTAGACTATTTCCCTACTTTAAACATCAAGCAGTCTTTAACTGAAAGAGTCTGATGTACTTATAGTTCTTGTTTATCTCTCTGATAGAAAAGCTCAAGGTACGATGCACAAATTGCCGTCTTTGGGTCAGAGTTCCAGGAGAAGCTCGGGAGGCAAAAGTATTTCCTGGTGAGGGCAGTTCAGATGTTTGTCCAGCAGATGGCAGGCTTTTCTTACAGAGAATCCGGCCTGAGTTTTACGCAGAGTTGTAAAGTAACTAAGTACAAATACTTCTTTACTGTACTTAAGTAGAATTTTTGGGTACTTGTACTTTACTTGAGTAATTATTTTTCAGCCTACTTTTTACTTCTACTCCTTACATTTTCACACRTTTATCTGTACTTTCTACTCACTACATTTTTAAAAAAGGCRAGAAGTAGAAAGTCGTTACTTTTAGTTCATTTTTGCTTGTTTTCATTCCAGCTTGTTATTGTAAAAAAATAAATACCATCCATATAAACTGTGCCTCCAAGATAGAGTGAATTTAATTGTGGTTGAATGAGAAGTATAAATATATAAAATTCTGATACCGTATTAGTTTGTACACAAACAAATCATGTCACACTGGACATAGCAGACATATGTGRCCTAGTACGAAGATGCGTGTGGCGGCGGTATATCTATATCGACAGACAGGCAGTCTGTCTGTCTGTCCACCCGCCCGCCCTCCCAAAGAGGGGCCTGTGGGCCAAAACGTCATTCCATTCATTGGTGCAATGACTGTCTAAAGAGCTGTATTGCAGTTAGTYAAAAACGTGGGCCACTGCACTGGCTGCTCGCTTAGACTGTACTTAAGAAGTATTTGTATTTCATGAAATATGTTATTGTATTTGGCCGATGCCTTTGGATAGATTTTCATTTTGGAGAAAAGTTTTGTGCAGTCTTGATATATGTATATAAACTGAAACAGATAGACTAGTGCATCCTAAATTTAACATAAATTAATTATTTTACTACAGTATAGTAATTTCTGTATTTTTTGGGAGATCACCTCCTAATAAATATCATTACGAAAAATCTAACTGCTCATTTTAAATCAATACTTTTACTTTTAATACTTAAATACAAAAAACATCAGCTACTTTAAGACTTTTACTCAAGTTCTATAGAACAACGCACACCAACAGTACATCTGGGGGTGGGGGTGTGGGGGGTCCTGAAGAAGGGCGGGCCACCAGGTGTGGTCCTGGGCTGTGGGTGGGCTCGGGGCTTGGACGGTTGCCGGTGGTGGGGCTGGCTCCATCCTCCCTGGTGCTGCTTGGTCTCCTGAGGTGTGGCTCTTGGTTCCTGTGGGTGGTCCCCTGGCCGGGGTGGCTGCCGGGTTCCGGGGGGTGGGCGGCTGGGGGGGTGCACTTGGTCGTTGGCAGTGTGGTGGGGTTGTCATGGGTGTGGCTTCTCTGCGGCGGGGTGCTGGCCGGGCGTTCAGGTGTGGCACGGGCTGGGCCTTGGCTWTCTGCTCCTCTCCACCTCAGAATGATTGGGTCCACGTCCTGGGTTCGGGTGTGTGCTGCCTCCAATTGGGGGTGGGTGCATGTCCTGGACCTGKGGGGTATAGAGTGTGTATCAGGGGTATGAGTGGAATGTGGCATCCTTGTATGTCTTTGACTGAGTGGGGGTGAGGATGAGGGTGGGATGGTACGATTGTGTATGTTTGGGTATTTGTCAGGCTGCAGTCTGGGCTGCCCCTCCTGCTGGTTTATCTGGGGGCCCGCTGCTACTCGGCCCCCCGGTGGGGTGTGCGGCTGGCCGCTGGCGTGCTGGGGGTTCCCGGGGTCTGGGTCTGGGAGCTGGGGTGTGTGCCGGCCTGGTGACTGCCTGCTGGGGCTCTGGGCCTCTGGCCCTGTCGGGCTATGACCTGGAGGGGGTGCACCCTGGGGGCCTGGACCTCTGCGCCCTTTCCTGGATCTGCTCTGGTATGGTGGGTGCCGGTGGGGCCCATGAGTTTGTCGCTGCTGGCCCCGGGGGCTGTGTGTGTGGTTGCTGGGGGGACTCTGCCAGTTCTCCCCTATAGTCTGATCTGGAGGGTGGGTGGGTGGATCTTCTCGTGCGGGTGCCCCTTGGGGCTCTGCACTCGGGATCCCTCTCGGGCCCTTGGGCTCTGGTCTTCCCTATGTCTGCCTCGTGTCTTGGGGGTTGGGTCTCCGGTCCTCCACAGTCACTATTAAATATTCCATTGGAGAAATCTTGTATATACACGCATGTTCACAACTGCTCACAAACAGGTGCTCTGATCCAGGGGTTCTGACAGGTCACTGAGTGTGTATATATGTCTGTGTGTATATACTGGCAATATGTATGAATGTAGGCATGTATGTACAGTATGTATATCTTTATATATGTATGGGTATGTGTATATATTTATACATGCCCTCCATGTATTTATCCATTTATTTTTCAGGTGAGCAGACAGATGTTGGGTGTGTGGTCCTGTGTTTTGTTGGTGTATATTTAATATACTTCTAATCGCTATTTCAATCTTTCTATCTTTCTAATTACTTCTCTCTCTGTTTTTCTCTCTGTCTCTATTTTCTCTTCACTTAAAAAAGGTCATAGATGATGAAGAAATAAATAAACTAAATAAACTAATATTTGGTTTCGTTTTCTACTGAAGTGACACCTAAAAAAAGACTTTTACTCAAGTAATATTCCTAAAGGAGACTTTAACTTTTACAAAAGTAAATTTTTGACAAGATACTTGTACTTTTACTCAAGTATCACTTTATGGTACTTTATACAACACTCGTTTTGTGATCTTGAAACGGGAAACGAAGCGCAGGTGGCATTTCCTGTCAGGGCTGACCTTTTTTACTACAGACTTCTTGGCAATAAATTTTATACTGGGCACATGATTGGCAGCACCTGGGGGAACCAGAATCTTAAGAGTCAATAGCAACAGCAAAACAAGCTGTTTGACAAGAGAATTTTTGAAAAATGGTTCATGTACACAACCCACATACTCAGCTCTACTGCTCATTCCACAAGTGCATGTTCTTTACAAATTTGGCACCATTTAAAAGGGAAATCAACAGGCTTTCCAACGGTATAAGACTTATTGCCAAAAAGCATTGTTACAACAAAGAAATAATTTACCAAACAAAAATTTCTTTACATTTTGTTCTAAGCTTATATTTATATTAACTGTCTGTATGTCTGTTTTGGTCATAAGTAAGTCTGAAAACACCAGAATAAAATATGACACTTGCAACATTAAGTTGTTGCAGATAAATTACAAATCTGAAGTTAGCTAAGATTTATTTTCACATTGTTTGTCTGAAGTGTTATTCTTGTCCCTTAATATTGTAAGGTTGGAGCCGGTGCCATTGGCTGCGAGCTTCTGAAAAACTTTGCCCTCATTGGGCTCGGCGCAGGAGCAGAGGGCCACATCACTGTAACAGACATGGACTTTATAGAAAGGTCCAACTTGAATCGTCAGTTTCTGTTCAGGTCGAAGGACATTGGGGTGAGAACACCACACATAATTATCACTTTTAGAAACACTTCAGATTTTTGTAATTGTTCTTATTAGATAAACAGCAGAGTTCTTCCTTTTGTCATTTCTATATTTTCTCACTCTTTATTTGCATCATCTCAAACACACGTTATTTTTTTCATTTCCCAATGAGCAGAAACCTAAATCTGAAGTTGCAGCCACCGCAGTGTGTGAGATGAACCCACAGATAAAAATCACCGCCCATCAGAACCGTCTGGACCCCGACAGTGAGGGGGTGTACGACTACARCTTCTTCATGGAGCTTGATGGAGTGGCTGCAGCCCTTGATAACGTGGAAGCCAGTGAGGACATCAACATTATGAAAGTCTTTTTTTTATTCCCACTTCCAATTTGAAGCACATTTCTGAAATCCCTTTTTTCTGTTCCCCAGGGGTCTACCTCGACGGCCGCTGCGTTCAACACCAGAAACCAATGTTGGAGGGAGGAACACTGGGATGCAAGGGTCACACTCTGGTGGTGGTGCCTCATCTCACGGAGTCTTATGGACCCGTCAAGTCAAGTTCCGGCAACGCCATCCCACTGTGCACGCTGAAGAACTTCCCACACCGAATCGAGCACACACTGCAGGTATACAGTTAAAGGAGGTAGCTTGCTGAGCTGCGATTGTTTAAAGACAATTTGGTAAAAAAAAAATCCCTCAAAATTGCTTGAAAATATGTCAGYAGCTGCRTTTCCAYTGCAAATGTGTGCAAAACTTTGTTGATATTCCGTTAATGTCGAAAAACACTGTTTCGCAATTGTGGTGCTTCCATTAAGTAAGAAATGCTATTATAGTCACGCRTGAATACGTTTCTTCTCACAATAAGTCATTACAAACATGGCAACAATGGATGTAAACACATAGCACATTGCTACCACAACACTAGCCCTCATCATCAGCCATCAGAGGAGACGTCGGCGTCTTATCGAGGCTTTCGCGTGACAAGCCCCTTATACTTGGGAGCGGCTACGTATGCTGCATTTTTGGAAAAATGTAGTCGGTGAGTTTAATACTTTCTTTTACTACTTCGGTGATTTCACTACTACTTTTACTTCCTGTTATCTTCTTYGTTGTCTTTTCGCCATTTGAAACAGCCGGTTCTTGATCACGTGACTCCCGTGATGCAAAAAAAGTGTTTCCATTGCAGTTTTGCAAAATAYATCAATTTCGATACGGCCGAAAAACCACCTCTTCCTAGTGCAAAACCATTTTGTTGAAAAACGTAATTTTTTTTTTGAAATTGACATGTTTCCATTGAGCAAATTTAATTTTAAAATTCTAATTTGTGCGTTTTCATGGTCAATGGAAACGCAGCTACAGTTTAGTATGTTTGCAATCAAGTGCCTACCAAGCTTCATGAGGGCAATTTATGGTTCAGTTTTTGAAAAGAAGGTCCTATTTTAATGTGCACAACTTACAAAACTGCAATCTTGATTGTGCACATTATTTTCTTGTCCATCTCTGAATTAGCTTCTAGACTACATGAAAAGTCTCTGAAGTGTTTGATTTGTGAAACATTTATTCACTGAATGAACTAAATTTCATGCTTTGTGGTGTGTGTGTGTGTATATGTATATATA